GTGTCCCCCGAGGCAATTACTTGAGTATATAAACCTTACTGAAAGGCTGGCTTTTCTTGGGAACTAATAAATAAGCCCCAAAGCCACAACGTGGGTAAGACCTTGAAAAACGGCCTCATCATCTATTGGGAATTGTGAACCCTGCAAAAAGCAGCTCATTGTACTTTTCAGAAAAAGCTTTTTGTTTAAAAAAATAATAATGAACAAAAACCACCAAGTGGAGTCTATATGGAAAGAGCAATCTAGTCTGAGACTCTAAGGCTGGTCTCTTTGCTGCATTAATCTTTCTTCGTAGATTTTATGTAAGAGGCATTATTTGCAGGAAAACAAGATACCGTTCTGAAGAATTCCCCTCTCATCCCAGCTTTCCATCTGCAGTTATAATCCTCTGATTGTGACCTCTGCATTAGCTGCCGTGGATGCCGAGCCGAAGTTTATGACCTCAGGGTGGCTTATAGTTTGGGTGGGGGGTGGTGAAATGAAGCCTCAAGCGATCAAAGTCACGTATTTCCAGAAAGAGAGGAAAGGGGGAAAAGGCACCCTCCGGACGCATCCCTCAGCGGTGGGCCAGCGCTTGACACTTACGGAGCATTTTAGCTCCACTCTTGGTTGCTTTGTTGCTTTGAGGACAAGATGCTGGACTGTAGCCATGGGGACACGGGCAGGCAAAAGGCTATGTGACTGAGAACAAGGATTTTTTTTTTTTTTCTGTCCCTTGGACCTGTTTCCTGAGAGGTTGGGCTTGAGTCGAGTCTTCCAGAATTCAAAGTGTCTTTTCTTTAACTGACGGTATCTCCATTCAAGAGCCTGGAGTCGACCACTGGTGCCGCTTCCTTGACCTCGGGCAGCCCAGGTGGTTTCCTGGAGCTGCCACCCCCTGGGCCACTGCGGCCGGCCGGGCTCGGGGTCCCGCTGAGCCTTCCCTCACCGTGGAAGCAAACAGGCTGGGCCGAAGAGCCCGTGAGAGCCTTCTCGGGATGCAAAAATACAACAGAGGGCGCGGAACCCAACAGCGCCGTGGCCTTGAATATCAACGTATGGGCTGGCTCCAGACCGCCAAGTTCGTTAAAAATGTCTCTGGCAGGGTGTCATTGGCAGACTTTAGGGGTTTCGGTTTGCTTTCTATTTGGAATCACCGCATCGCACAAGCCGTGTTTACTTGGAAGGAGAGGGGGCGGGAACCAAACCCACCGCTCCGCGCACACGCCTTTTTCTCACATTCCAGACTCGAGCTGATGTGTGTCAGCGCGACATGGGGCGGGGGGAGGGTTCTTTTCGGATGTTTCATTCGCCATCCGCACGTCACTCCCAAACTTTTCCTCCCTGCGCTCGGGGAGTCAGGTTGACGCGCCCTGGATGAGGGGCTCGAGGCGCGGGGCTGGGCGCGCTCCCGCGGAGCCGGAGCCGAAGAGGCTCCCGGGCTGGACTCTGGGCTTCTCAGGTACAAGTTGGGTGCCAGGCGCGGCGGCGGGGGCGGCGACGAGCGGCGGGTGGTGTCTGGCTCCGGGCTCCGGCGCCCCTCCGCGTTCTGGCCGGGCAGCGCCGGGGGCGGCCCGGGCTGGGCGTAGGGAGTCCGGCCTGGCGGAGGCTGCGCGCAGCCTCACTCCCCGCGGCGCTCCCGGCGCGGCGGCAGCGGCGGCGGCGACGACGGCCCAGGCAGACAATGAACTTGCGAGCGCGCGGAGCCGAGGCAGGTTTGGGCCCCGCGACCCTCGGCCCAGTCTCCCCGAGGCAACCGAGGCCCCCAGCCGAGGGCGTCCCCTCGCCGCCGGTTCTGGCCGTGCTCTGGGCGCCCCGCGCGCTGGGGACCCCGCGGGAAGGGTCGCACGCCCCCCTCCCCGGCTCGGGAAAATGCGGTCGGAGCTCGGGGACGGGGGACTCGGCGGCGGGGTGGTGGCGCCGCGGACAGCCGGAGGCCGGCGGGGGGCGCACGCCACGGGGCACGCACGGGGTGGCTGTCCAGGAGAACGACCCCAGGAGTCGGAATCGGGGCGGCGCGCTGCAGGCGGAGGACCGACGGACCGACAGATCGGTGCTTTCTCCTTAAGAGCGCGCTTTGGGTGGGGATGGGGGTGGGGGTGGGGATTCCCCAGCCTTGCGCTCCGCTTCCCGGCGCACTTCTGGGAAGTTTCCAGGCGCGGCCCGAGGCAGGTAGGTGTGCATCTGCCACTCTTTCCTGGACTCGGGTTCAGAACCGCCTCCTCGCCCCGGCTCCAGTCCTGCGGCCGCACTGGGAGGGGAGGCTTGGTGTGTGTTGGGGGTGTCCCAGGCGCCGAAGCCTGTGGTACCGGGTTCCGGGAGGGGGACCGCGGAGGCGGGCCTGGGAGGAGACGGGGGCGCGGCGAGGCCCAGGGCGTCCTGAACTTTTGCTCCCCGCTCCCTCTTCCTTCCTCCCCGCCCCCTGCCCCCTCCCAGCGCCCCGCCGCAGCTCAGGAGGCGGCGTGACTCCGGAGTAGCCGGCGCTTCCCGGCTGCGGTGGCGGCGGCGGCGGCGTCCCCGGCCGGCCTGGGCGCGGCGAGCCGAGCGCTGCAGGTCTGAGCCGAGTGGCGCGGCGGGGCGGCCGGGCGGTGGGGCTGCGGGGTGACGAAGCTGTGGGGAGCCGGGGTGGCAACGGCCCCTGCGCGGGGGCGACGCTGCCGATCGTGATGGAGCCCGAGTCTGTTGGGTTGCGTGTGCGGGTGGAGAGGACTTGGCGGCCGTGGGCGGATGGCGGGCGGCTCGTGGCGCAGTTGGCCCCCTTGGAGCCCCCTAGGATCTTGGGATGGAGGCGCCCGGGAGAAGGGAACCTCGCCTTTGGGGGAATGAATGAAGAGCTGTGGAGGCGCCTTCCGACTCCTCCGGGCGAACGGATTGGCCGGCGCGCGCGCTTGTGTGTGCTTGTGTGTGCAGGATCTGGAGCCGCCAGGGTCCTGGGTGCGGCTGCTCGACCGCCCCGTCGCGGTCCTGGTGCCCACGTTGCCCGTCCGCCCAGCGCCCGGGGTCGGCCCGCGGGGTGGAGCGGCGGGTGTGGACTGAAGGTTGGGGCTTGAGTGCCGGCTGTAGGCAGCTGGACGTCCGCGCCTCGAGCAGGGAGGTTCGAGAAGGAGGCGGCAAAGCCTGGGGCTGAGACTCGCTCCTCCGGTCCCCAGTTTCCGGTTCCCCGAGGCCCTTCGCTGCATTCACGTTGGGTGAGTTGATGGCACGGAGTTCTGGGGAATGAAGTTGTATGTCCAGGAAGCCGCAGGACGCCCCGGGAAGGGATGTGGCGCGCTGTTCTGTGAGGCTGAGCCGAGGGCTTCGCAGGGCCCCAGCTCCTCTTTCCTCAACTGCGGTTCCTAAGAGGGCAGCCAGCCAGCCGGTGTTGGAGCAGAAAGCAGCCCGGGGGCACGTGCACCCGCTGAGGCGTCCAGGTGGAAACTGAGGCCTGGAGATTTGCCCCAACTTCCTCTAGAACCTCGCACACCATTTTCCATGCCCAGCTTTCCTGCTCCCGCCCCCTTCCCAAATGGTGCAAAATCAGGAACCCTCCCTTCCAGAACGTGGCACTTATTAATTTTACCAACTGTACGTTGAATCAGGCCGTCTTGAGGTGCAAATCATATATGATTTTGTTTAAAATAGCATGGGCATAAAAATGCCTTTTTATGAGGTAGTTTTAAATCAAATACGTTTTTGTCTCTAATACTTCTGAAAGATTGGCAGGAAAATGTTTTCCTTGCCTCCTGCTGCATGGGGAAACTGAGCCAGCCAGGTGAAGTAGCTTGCCGTGGTCTCTCTCAGTGCATAGGTGCGTAGTTGAGCCAGAAGTGGAGCTGCAGGGCTCTTCTTCCCTCCCAGGTCCAGCTTCCCGGGAGAACCATTTCTAGGGCCCTCTGAAGGAAATTCAATGATGTTTTTGTGTTTTTTCTCTCTGGGTATTGTATGACTGCAGTGAGCAGGGTTAATTCATCCAGGATATTGTGTGTGGGAGGTGGAGAGGCGGGTTTGTCCATATTGGATCCCACGTGAGCCTTGCTTTTCTTTGATGGTTAGATGGCCAGGCATCCCAGCACCGTCACTGTGGCTGCCGTGAGGCCTCTGTGTCTGCACCTTTCTTCTCCTCTGTTGCTGCTGCCCCTGGCCAGAAGAGGTGAGGAATTTGATTTTCTGCTGGCCTGAAGGAGAGAAGATTAATCCCTGCATCTGGAAGAGGCTATGTTTACAGGAAAGTTTGGGAGAGGCTGGGAAGTGGACTCTGCTTACTTGGTGTCTGGGGAAGGAGCAGAAAAGAAACTCCAAGTCAACCAGCTGGGCCATGGGAGCCCCAGGCTCTTGGAACCTGCACTAGCAGAAGCTTTAGGTTAGGGCTGGGTTGTGATTAGACTGTGGTTGTCCAAGGCCACCTAGGGCCTGGCTGGAGGTGGCCCGGCTAGCATCCGCCTGGCATCTGCCGATGGCATGGATAGCATCCGCGTCCAGGCGAGCTCCGGGGGATGGGGAGAGGGGAGACGCTCTGGGGCTGCCCTGGGCAGGTGAGCACATGCCCTACCTAAGGAGGGCAGCTTTGGCTCAGCTCCAGCCAGTTGGGGGGAAAAAAATGGACTTGACAGGTCTTGTTACTTCTCACGAGAATTCTTGAGCCTGGACATTTAAGTGTGGGCTCCAGTGCTACAAGTAGGGGGTGGGGTGAGTACTCTGCCAGGAGGTCTGAAGCTTGACGTCTGGCCCTGTGTCTGTGTACTGGGGAGGGCATCCCACTGTCAGAGACCTGTGACACCTGACGAGGCGTGGGGATCGCATCTCCCCGAGGCCGAGGGATTGAGAATTGACGGGAGCCCGATGTGCCTGTGGCCATGTGCCCGGCTGCTTCATGTGCTGTGTGTCATGCATCCATTCAACAGCTATTTGATGAATTCTTTTGTTTTTCATTTAATTTATTTATTTACTTACACAGCAGGTTCTTATTAGTTATCTATTTTATACATATTAGTGTATATACATCAATTGCAATCTCCCAGTTCATCCCACCACCACCCCCCTTCCCCCCTTGGTGTGCATACATTTGTTCTCTACATCTGTGTCTCTATTTCTGCCTTGCAAAGCGCTGAATTCTTGTCATGTGGAAAGAGACACCCTGCCTAAAACTTTTCATGTAATTTCATTATCAAATAGTACACCATGATTAGAGTCCCAGCCCTCGGAGGAAGGGAGCAGGCAAAAATGCCTGTACCTGATGGACAAATGAACAGCGAGCTGCGTTCAGAGGTGGGCAGGACAGTGAGGCAAGGAAAGTGAGAGGTGGGTTGTATAGGAGGAGAGTCTCCTTTTACTGATGTGGAAATTGAGGCTCGGAGCAGTGGGTCTGAGGTCACACAGCCCAGAAGTGGAAAGTCAGCCCAGGTCTCTGATTCTCCAGCTCCTGGGCCGGCTCTGTCATCCCACCCCGCTGGACTGGAGCCTCTTGGAAACTCCTAGATGAATGGACCTTCGCTGTGGTGGGGAGCTCTTGCTTCCTGTCCCTGTATCCTGACCCTGTCCTGGTCCCCAGGCCTCAGCAGGCCCTGGATTGCCAGGTGTCATTTGGGATGCATTTGTATGAGAGAGGAGTTTCCTTAAATTCTAACAACAGAAACTAGTTTGAAACGTAGCTGGCCTGGCAGTGTCACCGTGTGAGCACCCTGTCACTGGGCATCTCTTTAGCAGCACGTGATTTAGAAGCGACACTTGCAGCCACTGGTGAGAACGGTACATCCACCTGAAAGTCAGGATACTCAGGTGATGTCGACTGAGTTCCGCTGGAACTGTGTTGCTTTGCTGTGAATCCAGAGCCCGTCTTCTCACTTAGCTAACGACGTACTGGGAGACTAACTAACGACGTACAGGGTCTTTCGTTATTGTTCTCAAGTGCTGGGGTCTGATTTCCTTCCTGAGACGCTCATCCTTTAAAAGGAAGCACTGGGACGAGATGATTTATGTGTAGACCCGTGTCTTCACAGCATGAAATGAAGCATAGAGGTGGGAGTTGTCTACTGAGTATCCCGTCTCCATATCTAGGAAGAAAAGTAAAGGTTTTTTGCGGATTTGGGCCAATACAGAATATATATATTTTTTAAGTACGGGGGTTGGGGAGGAAGACATTTGGTCATAACAGCTGTCATTTGCTGGGCCCCTACTGATTCCCAGCTGGCCCTGTGCCAGCCAGGTCAGACAGGTGTCCCCCTTTGTCTCAGAGGGCAGGGAGGCTCTTGGAGATCACAGGGAAGAAGCTTTCAGTCATCCGGATGTGCAGGAGCTAGGAGCACGGAATGGCAGTGGAGGAAGGAGGGAAATGGGGCTGGAGGGGGAGAAAAACAATCCTGGCTCTAGAAGGGGAAGGCGGGCGTGAATCAGCAAGTGGTAAGGGGCGGGGAGGTGGCAGGAGAAAGCAGGTTCTCAGTCTCTGCTGATTTCGAAAAGGATGTACAGGAAACGCGAGCAGCCTCTTTCATCAGCAGCAGCTACATGCAGCATTGATGCCTTCTTCCAGGTGCAGGCCCAGGGCCAGGTGCGTGGGAGCTGAGAGGCAGCGCTCAGAGCAGTAGGCGAGGCAGAACTTGCAAGTCGGAGTTCCACAGTGCTGCCCAGAGTGCGGCAGGAGTCTGCATTAGCGACTCTGACATTGGAGTGGTCTGGGGCGACTTCACTGGCCTGGCCTGAGAGCTGGGGTCCTCTACATGACAATACCTGCCCGGCACTTGGAGCGGCATACAGTAAGTGCTTAAGAAACATCGGCTTTTGTGGTATTCTTCAGCTCTAGAGCTCATCACCAGGGACGGGGGGCGTCTCTGATCCCTCTGAAATTGCACGTACAGTCTTTTATGTAGATGTGTATATTTCTTGGTGTGTGTTGGGGGTGGAATTCTGGCATATTCTACCTCAGAGGACTTCTCTTACACCCCGTAAGGCCGGGAGCCCCAGGACACATTGGATTCTAGTCAGGCTGGTTGCTTCACCTCTCTGGGCTATTTCTTCATCTGTGCAAAGAGGGGCCTGGATCCACAGTTGCCCTCTGGGATGCTTCCAGCGGAATGCTGTGGACAGGCTGTAGGTCAGGTTGGCTGTGCTCCCATGAGATGCGCTTAAGCCCAGGGCAGACCAGGAAATGTGCTGGGGTGGCTGGCTTTTGAATGTTACATCTTGAGCACCACTGTAAGCGTCAGAGAGTCCTGAGTAGGTGTGGGGGGGGGGGCCTTTTTGCCGGGGCAGGCTCTCCCTGACACCTGTGCTACATTTCTAGAGTTTGTCCTGGTCCAGGCCTTTCAGGTCTCTGAAGAAAGTGAGGCTGGTGGATCCTCAAAAGCAGAGAGTATCATTATAATGGAAACCTGGACACTTTCCAGAATCGTGTTTGTGATAAAAATATTGAAACAGGCAGCCTAGTTACCCAGGTGCCTGGAAAATACCCCAGCATGGGCAAATAATTAGATTACAAGGCAGGCGCAATTGTTTTTTCTAGTGATATGCGGGAACCTGGTGGTTTCACGTCTTCTCTTGAAATGGAGTATGTGTTTGCTGGCCCTTTTTGCTCCCTGTGGTCAAAAACATAGTGGAGTGGCCTCTGAGGGGGAAAGGACATGAGAGTTGGCAATTCTGTCCCTCTCGGGGCAGCCCTGGATCTTGGGGGGAAGTTCTGTCCTGCTCTGCTGTGCCCTTGTAGGGAGCTGCCCCCAGGGCCGGGGCCCGTGGCACATTTGCTGTGATGTTAGAAGGTGCATTTCAGAGTCTGAGAGGTCTGTGAAGGTGTGTTATTTTCTCACCCCTTGTTGAAAGGGGTCTGGGCAGCTCTGTCTGCCCTTCGTGACACACGTTAACTGACTCGGGCTGGATGAAGTAAGCTCGGCCAGCACCTTCATTTTCCAATCAACCAAATGTTTGGTGCCCATCATGGAGATGTTCTTTTAGCCTGGGTGTTGAATCCTGTATAGGCCCTTGGAGGTGGTGGGTGAGCCTGGGCACCCCGTTGACCTGCGTTTGATCATGACCCTGGGCAAGTGGTTTAATCTCCTTGTGCCTTGGTTTCCTCACCTGTAAAGTGGGGTTAATAATCTCTTCCTTGTCCTTGTAGTGTAGTTTGAGTACCAGTAGTACAAGTTAGGGTTCAAGGGAGCTCCCCAAACTGAACTCCTCTTTCCTGGCCAAGTTCTGAACTTACAGAGAGAGAGGGGAGGAGAAAGATAGGTGGAGGTAAAAATGCAATGTTTGTTCCCGACTGAAGTAGACATAGTAGAATGTGATTGAACCTGTGGGCACGTGGGCATCGCAATCCTCAAGTGAGAAGTGGGCAGTTAGGCCGGCTGACCTCCCCTGAGTCACAGGTCCAGTGGGAAAGCGGCAGCCTCTCCCTGGGCCGGCCCCCTTCCTCCACAGGGTAGCCAGCAGGGGGCAGTGCCTACTCTGTGTGGGAAGAGGCAAGGCCAGGCTACCTGTGTCTAGGTCCTCCTTGCACACTCCTGGGATGGGGGTGGATGGACACCACCAGGTGTAGACACAGGTGGTGGTACACAGGTGGCGCTGTCTCCACGAGGAAGAAACATCAGGAGTGGGCAAGACGATACCCCCCCATCCCCCACCCCACCTCCACACACAGCAAATAATAAGTACTTAGCCCCGGGCCTGACCCACGGGGGCGGGGGGCAGGGGTTTGGGGCTGGCACGTGGTACCTATTAGGCATAAATTGATAAGGGCAGCATTAGATATGCAGTTGATAAGGATATTGAGGGGGACACTGAGATTAGGAAGTGAGCCTGTTAACCAGGCCTTGTTATCTGTAGAGCATGGCAGTGATTAGCCAGATTGAGATAATGATTAGCCTTTGTGACACACATGTAATTTACAAGGGGCGGGGGTGCCCCCGGAGCCACTGGCTGGCTGACAGCCTGGTAGCCTGAGTGGGAGAGCCTTTTCTGCCTCCTCTTGGTTCTCCCTCCCGGTTCATCCCAGGGGGGAACTGTGGATCCAACCTCCTCTTTGCATGGCCTGAACCTTCATCAGCCCCCGGCCCCCCGTCCCATCACCACCTTCGGGAAGCTTTGCCAGTAATTCTTACCATCTCTCCATATCCTCCCATCCAGGTGTTACCGTCCTCCTCTGAGTGTCTGCAATTCTACGCTATTGAACTCAACCTACTTTATACCACGTTCTTTCTAGTTTTCCTGGGTGTGTGGTCCACTCACCCATGCCCAGCAAGCCCCTCAAGGGTGATGAGGCTGTCTGGGGGCCCACTCAGTCGCGAGAGTTGAATGAATGCTCAAAAGCCAGCTAGTCCTGGAGGAAGGGCTGTGATGGATTTCACGTGGGCCTCTGGGTGTGCATCCAGGAGACAGAAAAGTATCCCCAATTCGGCAGCATATGGTGCAGGAGAGTTAATGCTTGTCGCTAAATTTCTGCAGGAGTCAAGAGCCTAATGTAATAACCTTGGATTTACTGACACTAGAGTTTTGGGCTATTAAAAGGTAGTGAGCCCAGTTTTTTGTGTCTTGAGAGTCTTGGGGATAAACGTTATGGAATTTTGGTTGGTATTTCAGGAATAGAAATCAGGAGCCATTTACTCAGGAAAGAAATGTGGAGGCCGTTAGTGTTTCTTATGGCCAGTATAAATAGCTTGTCTTTAAGTTCCATGCTCCTTTGTTTGGAATGTAAATATTTGCATTAAAAATATAAAGTATGTCCCGGCATGTATTTATAGGGACCATAATTTCCAAACCAAAAATCAGACTATTGGTCTACAGAGGATTACTGCCTCTGATTCAAGAACCTGTTTATGTAAAGTCTTCCAAATGTGCACACAGAACCGTATTCGCTTCGTGCACAGAAGGGATCTCCAGGATTACAAGAAAGCGGAGTTGCCCCAGGGAATTGGGCCAAGTAGTTGGGTTTCCCGACAGACACTTATGATCACGCTGTTAAGTTGCAACCACCCCAGGGCAGGGCGAAGTTTTGGCCCAGGTCCCGTGGGACCGGCCGACTTCTCCGTCCTCAGTCTCCTAGACATCCAGGTGGGAGTTGGCAGCAGCTGGCTCATCTCTGGGTCATGTAACCAGACGCCTGATTTCAGAATTGCTGTTGCCGTAGGAAGATGTGAGAAGAATGCGGGGATTGGTGTTCTTTCCGCCATCTCGTTTCTGGTTCAAGGATGAACTCTGAGGGCCCCTGGAGGCTGTCATCCTCCATCAGATTCTTGGGGCAGTTTAGCTTTTTAATTTTCCATGAAGAAAAGTGCAGATTTGTCAGACATTTGCTGGAGGCAGGATATCACCGCTTATTTGGTCTCCGCCCTCTTCTTTGGAATGAGAGATTGGGGGCTGCAGTCGGGCTGGGCCAGGGCCTCTGCTCCTGGCAGAGAGAGAGAGAGAGAGAGAGAGAGAGAGAGAGAGAGAGAGAGAGAG